TAGGCCGCGGGGGCGCGGGAGGGCGCCCGGGGACACGGCCGGGCTGGGGAAGCGCGCTAGGCCACGCCTCGGGACATACATGGATAATTCATATACATTATATATAAAATTATGRCCGTTAAATCATGATAGTTATATAAAATTTGCTATAATTATATAATAATTATATCGGCGACCTTATATATATGCGACCTTAAAAGCGTTACTCTTCCTACATGCAGCGCTTGCCACCTCTTTCTGTTTAGAAAGTCTGGCTGATTTTTTATTGTAGCAAATTAGAATAGTTTATACAGTGGTATAAACCAGAGGTCTCTGCCTTGGGTGCACAGCTGCCCCTCCTGCACCAGCGTGCGCAGAATGAAACCTCAGGCTGGGTGACCGTGAGCTACACCGTGAGCTACACCGTGAGCTACACCGTGAGCTACAGCTACACCGTGAGCTACACCGTGAGCTACAGCTACACCGTGAGCTACAGCTACACCGTGAGCTACACCGTGAGCTACACCGTGAGCTACACCGTGAGCTACAGCTACAGCGTGAGCTACCGCTGTCCACGGCTGTGTTCACAGCCCGGCGTGTGGGCAGAGCCTGTGCGTGTTTGTGGCCGCCTTGGTCTGCAGCGCCTGTGCAGAGAGGTGGATCAGAGCCTACGGTTACTTTCCGTAGGCAAGGTACAGCGGGTGTCAAAGCCGGTTAACCTTCAAATGCAGCAGSCGGGTTGACCCGGCTGTCAGGGAAGTTTCTCTTTCTCCACACGGGAAAAGCCATCTAGTGTCAGAAGGGAGGCCTAGCCTGTTAGAGGGGGCTGGGAAACGTCCCAGCCATCAGAGCTATTTCCAGCAGTTTGCTTTCAGACTCTCCTGTGGCTGCGTCTCTGCTTTATTCTCCTGGGTGATTTCCCTACAGAGAGACAGTGACGTTTTTTTTAATTTTTTTTTGGCTAGGGCTCCTGTATGAGGTTTGTAAAGTGCTGATGTAGATCTCTTCTCTGAGTGACTCTGCCTAGTATCTTGAAAACAGGTCTCCAGAGTGAGTGCCCTAACTTTGTTGTTCAGAGATCCCTGTTTCTCTGTTTTTCATTTTTAAGAATTCAGAATGTCTGTTAGTGATCTTTGCAAGGAGAAGTTTCCAAGGGTTTCAGTGAAGCATCTAATATTTTAATTACCAAGTTTGTTACGTTCTATCATTTTTAATATTTTCTTCGTTTTATAATAAGCAGTATTTATCTCAGAATGCTTTTGTATCAAATTAGAATAGTTTGTACAGTGTTTTGCTGCAAATCATAATTCTTTTATCACCTTTGAAGTATTGATCCAGATTTATGACTTGTGAATGTTAACACAAGGCTTGCTAGTGTTAGCACAATAGTTTCTATACCTATACCATTCTTCTGGTACTTGAACAGGACTGTTGGATAAAAAAAAGGATTTGGGGGTTGGAAATTCAGAGTTAGTAGAGTTGATCTCTCCGTATGCAACACTGTGCTACAGTTGTTATTTTTGTGTGTTTGGGGAGATGCAAGAGGTGGCTCTTAACTTGGGAGTGGAAGCTGAGTGACAGTTGAGGATGGTTCTTTTGGGGACGAAGAGGTGGCTGCCAGGGCTCTTGGAGAGCATCGTCTTTCTGCATGGGAGGTACAGTACAGTGAGCAGCATTTGTGGTTCTTTGTGGTAATTCTGGGACTGTTTAGGCTTGCACAGTGCGAGTGCATTTCTTAGCTGCCTGTAATTTGATTATAGTATTTTTTTTCCACTCAGATGATGTCCCGATAGACAAAAGCATTGTTACTTAAGATTCATAAAGCCTAAATATCGTTGAATGCAGGTTTTAGATAAATACATGTTTTAATAGTATCTGTCAAACAAAAGATTAGCACACTGTGCAGTTCCARTGTGTGTCATTACTGTCTGTATATGTACATAAAYGCRTATGTACATAAACTGCATATGTGCATTTTTGTTCCAGCATGGTGTCTGCATAGTAAAGTTTCACTGATTTGTAAGCTGAACTTTTTCACCACGTGAATTTAAGACTGTAAGAGTTATTAAAGAGGCTAGCGAAGTTGGAAAGACTTAGTCTTCCAGTTGGATCTGTTTTTCTGCTTTTGAAAATAAGTGAATTTTAGTCTCTGTTAAWAACAAGGTTCTGTAGAAAAGAGTAATTATTCCAACATTCTTTAACAAAAGACAGTGACTTAATGATGGTGGCTCACCTTGAGAGAGGTGCCTTATCTTTTACAAAGTTTCCTGTGATCTGGCTAGGTATTTTGCTTTTTGATCTGTGTTACTGATGGTCATCTCATCCTATAATGAAGAAAAGAGTATGTTTTGGATGTTGGAAAATATGGCACTTGGTATGCCTATGTTTTGAGCAGAGAATGCCTRTAAGTGCAGCTACCCTTGTGTTTGTATTTGGATCATGTTTCACCTTGACAGAAATGAGGATATTTGTGTGAAAATGGGAAGGACTTTTTGAAGCAGGTGGGKTTTTTTTTAATTGTTTATTAAAATGTCAGAGATTTACTTCAGCTGTGAAAATGTGAACCTCTCCATCTGCTGCAGACCCAGCAGTCTTACACTTCTGCTGAAGCTGCCTTTCAGTGAAGGTGGTGCAATTTGCAATCCTGTGTTTGAGAAGCGGGCGCCTGTCTTGTTGGTTCTGCTGTGGAGGTGGTGAGGGAGCACAGAGGAGGAGGGTGAATGGGGTATTTTTTTTTTTGAACCATCCCAGCATGGTTTGCTGGGGATCATCCWTTGATGGCAAGTGTGCAACTGTAACCACACTTGCTAAAGATGCATCTTTAAGATGTTTGGATTTTATTAGAGTGTRTGATTCTGTTGAATTCTACAGATGAACAAAGCCGATGCTTTATTATTGATAACAGGTTTCAAGTGAGATCATTGTTATAAGTAGCTTGTGGCTGTCTTCCAGAGCATGGAGAAAGGGGTTATTTGGTAAGGACTGAGCATGACATCGGGATGAATCATGGCACATTCTGCTGCCAAGTAATTTTACACTTACGGCAAGTATGTTAAATCTAGAACAACAAACATATTTGTCATTTTTTTCAAAACAAGCTGCAACTTAGATTATGGTAAAAGCAYATTTTCTCTTATAGCCAATTCTAATATAACTGGTTTACTACAGTGTTAATATGGGCACTCTCAATTTTTGGTTTTAATATGTGGATCTCCAGGCTAGTGTTTTCTTGGGTGTGACTTAATTTTCAAGTCTGTACACATTCTGTGTGGTTGATTACTCAAAAGTCTACATTTACTACAGAGTTTAAGGGTAATATTAAACATGCTTTCCTTAGAAGTCAATTTCACACCCAAACATAGGTGTTGCATTAGCCTACATATGTTTTGTTAGTGTCTCTTGGCAGAGCCCTGTCATCCAACGAGTTTGTCTTGTTTTCTTTACTTACCGTAAGAGAGAGAATAGTCTGTTTAAAAAAAAACTGTATCTTAACTATTAGAATATTAACAGCTTCCCTTTATACTAATGTGAAATGACCATAGTGTGGGATACCAAAAATCCTGCTATTTTTACCACAGCTGCAYGGAAGTGCTAGTGATAGAAATAGGAAATATTTATGCCAAGTGTGAAGGAAGTTTTTAAATGTATTTGTCCAAAAAGCAAAGCAGGAAACTTTGTGAAACCTTCTTCCTTTGACACCAACTTAAAACTTCAAATGAACTTCACTAGAATTAAAATTTGTAAAGTGAAGTCATAAAAGAATTAAGTATGTTTTGCATATTATGATTTGTGTTCAGAGAAGCAGAAAGTTTTGGGAGTATTTCTGTTATTGTGAGAAAAGTGAAAGGGGAGAGAAATTATTATTTGAAATTAAGATATCCTGAAAACTTTGTCCAGAAACAGGAACRTTTAAATTTAACCTACATGATAACCATCAGAAAATTAAATTTCATAAATCTAAAGCAAGAGTCCATAAAAGGAGTGAAGTATTTAATGTCAGCCTTTTTCTGTTTGCTAAAAAACCCACAAATACTGTATCTAAAATAAAATGTTTCTGACATTCTTCAGTGAAAAGTGAAGCATCAGGATCTTCCATAGCTTATAGTGACAAGGTTTTCTTCTTATTATTCATGGCGGTAAGTTCAATGTGCAACAGAAGAAGCCTGTATATCTTACACAGTTTAAAACCCAATAACCTACTTAGATTTCTATGCTATTAGATTTGATATTCATTACTGTTTTAGCAGTATTCAATCATTTTTAAAGGTGCAAAAAGTAAGACAGAATTCTTTCTTCAGATATGTATTTGCATTCTGTGCTTTTTTTTTTCAGCTCAGAAGATAAGATAACTGTACATTTCATAAACCGTGATGGTGACAAACTAACAGCCAAAGGAAAACCAGGGGATTCACTGCTGGATGTTGTTGTTGATAATAATCTAGACATAGATGGTTTTGGTAAGTAGGTTCCTTGAATAACGTATTTAGTGTCTAGAATTCATGATGGTGTTTATTTAGTAAGATATTTATTTATGGTGTCCATAAAACACTGTTCAATTTTTTTCCCTCATTTTTCTGTAGGTTCACAGGGTCAAATTCTGAGAATATTTTGTGCTAGCCCTTGGAACTTTCAGTGTTTGAATGGTAAAGTGGAGGGGAGATGGCAGTTAGRTTTCACCCTGACAACACTCTGAAAGATGCTGCCCGAGATCCCTCCTGTGAAGGGCTCTGCATGCAGAGCAAGCTGGGTCTGTTCCTGACAGTGACAGGCTGCTTCTGGCTGTGTTGTCATATAGTCCTGATTTTTTTTTTTTCATCAGACTTTTTTTGTAACACAAATTGCTGTAATGCATGAGTGCTGAGTGAAAAGAACAACGAAATCCATGTCAGTTAGCAGAGAAGAACAAAAAGCTTAATTCTTAGAAGAAAGCTGAAGGAGATAGTTCATTTCTTGAACTTTGCCATACTAAGTTCTGTCTTTCTGAAACTAGACCTTAAAAATAAAGGATAACGGATAAATAAAAAAATAAAGGAAAATGAGTGGTGGTGGTGGGATATCCTCTTTTATTTCCTACTCCTAACTCTGAGACTGCTATTCTATTCTGATTTACAGCCTGTTTTGACAGGCTTTTTTAGGTATGTGCCTTTTGGGAAAACTTCTAGGAGTCTAATAAGGGGGAGAAGAACACAACTAACTTCCCTTGTTTGTTGGCTTCCTTAGTCTCTGCAGGTTGCCGAGTTTGAGTTTGTGCTGCTTTAATTTTATGTGTGTGTGTGTGTGTGTGTGTGTGTGTGTGTGTGCACGTGCTTTATTTGAGGACTTTTGGCAGGAGAGTGTTTTTCATAAGTTGATATAAGCATAAAATAGGCAGTTTCCACTCTCAGCTCAAAGTTAGAGGCCAGAAAAACAAATATAAGTTGCCTGTATTTCATTTTCTTTCTCCTTACCCATGGAGAATTGCCTTTATATTTTCTTTTTAGTTTAAAAAGTTAGCATCTGTTGACTAGTATTTTGACTATGTAGTATTTYCAGTGTGAGGAGTTGTGAGCCTGGAAATATAAAAGTGGGACTGAATCTCAGATACGAAGCTGTAAAGTCAAGTAGAAAAACATGGAAAATATCAAGTTAACATAATGTTTTCAGAGTYATGTTATATTTTCAAGATAGGTGAAAGCTTACCAGTTATCTTGCCAGACTTAAGTTGGTACATGTGTGATTAAAAATCCTTATTCTGTTATATTAGGAGTTATGTTAAAGTAGTTTATGGACAACAATCCATCAATTATGTAGGATGTCTGGGTGGAGCATCACCGTAAGCCTGTAGTTGTCACCCTGCTTTGGTAGTATCTGCACTGCATCATTAAACCTGATGAAGTAATTTAGAGCCTTCCGTAATGGCCTTAGTGCAAAATGAACTGTGCTCTTTTTGGTTAAAATCAATTTTTAAGGAAAATATTTAGTATGAAAATAGGTTTGTACAAGGAGACTTGTATTCCACAGCCTTAGTGAAATTCTAGCTCAGTTTAAAATTTGCTTAAAATCAAAAAGGGAGGAATTTCTGAGAACTTTGCTGTTCCCTCAGACTGCCCTCTGTTACATAGTTCCACTGAAGCAGGGTGATTCTGCCCACACAAGCATTCAAAACAGGGATTTTAATGAATATAAGTGTAAGAAAGTAATACTACAAACTAAAGCTGGAAATGGAGTTAAATTACATGTGAACTGTATGTATAACATGGAATAAATGTAGGAAAAGTTAAGCAGGCTGTTCTAGTGCACAGATGGAAATTTTAAGTGTGTGCGTGTGTTTTTATTGAAGTGCAAATACATTTCACTGCTAGTAATAAAATCTCCTTTATAAGTCCGTAGCATCTCTGTTATGAGTTGCRTACATTTGGGGAAGAAGAATCTTCCCCAATTTGGGGAAATCTTTTGAAAATCCGTAACATGTTAGGACAACTGTAGCTTTAGGCAGCATTTTTTTAGAGGCTTATGGCCAGTCTACTTACACTGAACGGTTAATATCTTCTCACATTTAGAAATGTCAACCATCTTAACAAAGCACTGTGATAAAGTGAAAAGGCAATTCTGTCAATAAGCAGGAGCCAGCATAATCATTGGAGATACATTCCTACATTACTTATTTACATTAATATGTAAATTTACATTAATAAAGGTTATTTACATTAATATTATTACTGTATGTGTGGTGGATTTTTTTAAAGTGAAGAGAAAAAAAAAGTAAAAATCATCSCTATTGACTTCTCTCACTAGGGGACATCCCATGTGCAGCAACAATGCTGGTAGAAGGATCTCTGTGTAAGAACTTTTTAAGTAGTTGAATGATTCAGCTGCACCGAGTTCATTTGCTATTACCAGCCTTTCATTCCAGAAAGCACCTCTGCAGTGTAAGGAGGGATAAGTGTGTTTATTTTTTTCTTTTTTCCCTATTCTCCAACTTTAAACTACACTTAAAATCTGATAATGCAAATTTTTAATTACTTTCTTGTTTTTCTAATGTGGATTTCTATTTGAAGACGTAGTATATTTTTAAGTACTTTAGCTATTTTCAGTAAGTAATTTCAAGTAAACTTTACTGTTGTAGGAAATGTAGAAACACTACTGACAGTTGAATGATAAGGAGATCTATGAATGTGGGGATACACGAGACACTACTCCTCAATTGAGAGATTTCTGCTGATAAGCAGAGAATCAGATATATAAAGGAATTCTGCAATTCTGCTGTAATATGGAAGTTAAGATTTCTATTAACTTGCCTTCTTTAGGTGCCTGTGAAGGAACACTAGCCTGTTCAACTTGTCACTTAATCTTTGAGGACCACATATTTGAGAAACTGGACGCGATTACTGATGAAGAGATGGACATGCTAGACCTAGCCTACGGCCTCACTGAAACGTAAGCCAGCTTAAGACTTTACTGCACAAAAGAACTGAAAGAAGGGTCCCCAGATGGGGCAGATTGATATTCCTAGAATGCCTYGGTCATTTCTAAATAAGTAGTTGGATTCTATTACACAAATGGGACTGGCAAGTTTRTGTGTTGATTACCTGAAATCACAGTAGGTAGGTGTCAGTAGTGTTTTCATAATGCAAGGAGAGGCCAGAACTTTCTCTTCAGTGTCTAATAGTGAAATATGACCAACCCAGTTCCTTCATCAAAGGCTTTGCCAMCACTGCCCTGTGGGAGATCTTCCTGTCTCTTTGCTTTTTGTTTTGTTCTCATTTCCCTTCCTCCTACCTTTGCTTTCTCCATCAGTCTTTAGCTAGTTAATGTTTTTATGAATGTGTCACAAACCATTTCACTCTGCGGATCTGTTGCTGATGGGCAGCCCTGCTTGCTGTGGATGTGTAGCCTGCTCAGTAGAACATACATGGGAGGAATAGGTGGCTGTATCTTGTGAGGCTTCATAAAACCTGACCTTTAGGCTTCAAAGCAACTACGTGCTTAAGTTTTTGAGAATCTTTCCAGTGATTTCAGAGCGTTTCATACTTGCTCTATGGAGCATTTTACATATATATATATATATATATATTTTTTAATGATTCTGCAGAGAAGTACTTTGAATTAATTCATTTACCTCCTGTACCAGTGACAGGAAACTTCTGCTAGTCATTTCTACATGAGGGTAGACATTTATTTTTGTTTCGGCTAAATATTATATATAAATATCTAGATAGAAATTTCTTGSTCTGTTTGCCATTAGGGAAGTCCCTGCACTTGAAGCTTTCTTTGCAGGGAGTTTACTGATGGATTAGTCTCAAATTGATATGTCTGTGGAAGGGGTATTAGAACAAGTTAATAAAATGAGTAGGAATAATTTGTGAGGACTAGGTGGTGTTCCCCCAAGAGTTCTAAGGGAATTTAGTATGRAATTGCTAAACTTGTATTGTTTATGAGTTTAAGTTGGTTTAAAACTGCTTCCAAACCAGAGGACTTTAAGGTAACAACCCAATTTTTAAAATGAAATTACTGGAACTAGAGAGCAGTGAGTTTAATTCCATACTGAGCACTTTATGCGCGTGCCTCGGCTGCTACTTTTTTATAGTTCCTACTAAATAACGGTGAGGAAAGAATCCAACAGCACTTTTGTAGAGGGAAATAACCATTATGGGAATTCTTCAAGTGAATCACTGAGTGTGAAGAGAGATCTTACAGTTCATATAGCTTATTTAGCTTCCAGAAGTCCTTTACTAAGTTTTGAGATGCAATGGGAAAAGAGCAAAAAGGATAAAGGATGGGTTAAATGATTATTCATCTCAAACAGGATAGAAATATTTGGCTGTCTTGCAGGAGATCAGCAGTGTGATCCCAGAGTGATTTTCTGTCAGCATATTTGTGAAAGGCTTGGAAAAGGGCATGAAGAGTCAGATGACAAGGAGAGGAAGGCAGTAATTAGTACATCGTTGTGTGAAGGGTAGTGCTGCGTTTCCCACCCTTTTCATCTACTTTCTTTCTGTTGATTGGCCCTGGTTTCTTAAATTTTGCATTGAGTGTAGGGCAAGATAGGCCGAGATGTAGCGAGCTGGGAACTTTAGGAACAAGTGCAGATTAGGAATTCCTTGGAAGAGCAGGGAATAAATCTCAGAACTGGCAAGCAAGACTTTCTTGGACTGCAGTGTAGCAACAGTAGAGGAAGCTACTGCGTGTTGGTGGAATGAAGAAGCAAAACTGAAAGAGAGGGCTCACCCCTTGAGGATTTAGTGGTTGTTGAGATTAAGCACAGAGTTTTTTTAATGTATTTTTAAAAATATATTTAATTTCAACCTGTCTCACCCAAAATATGAGTCACATTAATTCATTTCTGTGAACATAATGTTTTGATTGGATGATCAAATTTGTAGGATCAGGGCCATAAATATGTGTTTCAAAATATATTCTCTTTCTCTAGAATATCATTCATGAGCTCATGTTAAGAAACTAATCAAATTATCTTCAGCTGTAGTTTGCTTCCTTGTTCACCATTCTGTGGTTCTGGTTTAGAATCTGCTAACACATTGAAAGGCTTCTTTAATATACACAATTGCTGGTAAACACTRTTTTAAGCCACTTTTGTTAAATGAGTTCTGAAAAGATCAAATTAGAAATTTTTAAAAGAACCATTATCTATTATTAGTTCTTGAAATAAAGAAGTTATTAGGCCTCAAGCAGGGATTGCTTTCCCTTCATTATCTTAACCGTGGAGCTTTTTCCTTTTGTTAATGTTGGTCATAGGAAGATACTTCTTCCTTTCAGCCAGCTGTTACACACGAGCCATTTTGCAAAGASGCAAATGGAAATGTTTTCCTGTGGGTGCTTCAGAAGCAATCTGTGGTTGTGCTGAACCCCGCTTGACTAGTCCAGGACTGTGGGTAGTTGGGTGGGAATAGGATGCTTTAACACTAAGTTACTCAAAGGCAGGATTATTTTAAAGTAATTGCACTTCCTCCACCCCAAATCCAGAACGTTTGACTTGTATCTTCCCAGAAGTTTGCATTCAAGTGACAAGAAAGTGGGAAAAAAAAAATAAGAGACGTACTGAGAAAAAAAAATCTTGTCTAGCTGACGAGCTCTAAACATTCCCCTGGAGTCAGGTGTTGGGCATGTCCCAAAGCACGTTGTGTTGCCTTGGGTTCCTTCAGGCTGTTGTGCCTTTTCTGAGGAATTCATTCACTGCCCACATCTCCTTGAGATGCGAGATGACTGTTTGGTCCATCCCTACACTTGGCTAAACTGTTAATGAATCATTAAAAACGGAAGGGTCACCTCTGTTGTATATTGCAGGCAGGGAATACTCAACATAAAGCTTTATGTGTGTTGCACTGTTTTATAAGTAGGCAAATAGATGGCCATGATCTAATTACATTTCTGTCTTTGCATGGCTCTATGCTGTTCACTACTAGTCTTGGTTAAAACCACACACAAGTTTAACTGTTCCGTAATATGTTTGGGATGACTGAACTTTGGGGAAATAAGCTGCAAAATGCTGTTAGATACAGAGTTGGGCTAAAACTAAAGGCAATGTCACGTTTCCTTACAGATCACGTTTGGGCTGCCAGATCTGCTTGAAGAAATCCATGAATGATATGACTGTTCGAGTACCTGAAGCTGTTGCTGATGCTAGGCAATCGATAGACTTGAGTAAAAACTCCTAGAACAAAATAGCTTGGGGGTTTTAAAGAAACTTAATTATTTTTATAACTTATTTTTAAATGTGTAATTAAATACAGAAGCTTACATAATTGTGAGTTATTTTATATTGACTATCAATATTAGATTAACGCTATTTTGACTTTCTTTATAGAACCTCCTATATTTTTATGCTTAAAATGCAATAATACTTCTTCTAAGTGATGATTGGACTATAACTGTTAGTAAGATGAGTGTAATACAGATTATTTCTGCCAAAATTTGGAGTGGCATTTGAACACTTGGATCACTTCTATAAGGCTTCCTATAAAAAAGGGCATTTCCAGGTGAAGACCTAGGTATGTGAGAGAGCAAAACTTGGCAGACTCCGGGGGGTCTCGAGGATGTCCTGTTAAAGGCTCCAAGAGCAGCGTGCTGCCAGCTTGGTTGCTGCAGTACCTCGCTGCTGCTCTCCTGAGCAGCCAACAAACCTCAGTGTAGCTGCATTTACCTTGGACTGCCCCACAAATGTGGATATTCACATGGCTCGGAGCAAAGACTCAGAGCTCTCTAATGGGAGAGAGCAAAACTAAAACTGCAGGAGCTGTGTGTAAATTCTTGCTGTTGGGGGACAGAGTTGGGGTTGAACAGGGCACTGTTCTGTCAGCTTGTGTTCTGAAATCTTCATCTCTTACCTTTTTAGTTGCAGGAGGCAACTAAAGTTTAGTTCAGGAGGCAGCCTGAATAGATAAAGTCCTCAGCTTGGAGAGAATCCTCGAGTCTGGGCCTTGTTCCAGGGACGATTTTAGTAACTGATTTATATGAAATGACCAACTGTATTTGTCCCATAAACATGGGTTAGATTCACCAAAAGGTATAGGATGATCCCTGTCATGGATGATCCTATAGGTTGATGGCTGAGAGCATTCAGTTGGACCTTGATTTATTCCTTCTAAAGGTGATGAAAATAAAATAATGTCTCTAAGACTCATTATTAGTCTCCAGTTTTTGTTGCCTAAATGATCAAATGAACTGGCTTTCAGTAATGTATTACTTAATGTAATATTTTGAATATTGGCATGATTTCGAGCTTCATAAAGAAGAAAAGCAATCTTTTGATATAAAAAGAAATATTTTCTAGAACAGTGTTGAAAATAGTAAATCTAGTTCTGATGCCTTGATTTCCTTCTCACAGAAGCTGTTTCTTTGTTTTATAGTGTTCCCTTTAGACTTCTCCCTCAGAACAAAATACACTTAAAATATGATCTGGTCAAAGAACTTAATCATTAGCGTTCTCAAAATTTGCTTAATAGTTTGGAGGTGACCTTCCCACAGTCCCAAACTGCAGTAAATTGGTTTTTACTATGTATTGCCTTTGTCCTCAGTTCATTTATCTGTGATAATTCTCATTAAATCTTGAACTTTTAAGTGAAACATAGCTCCTTAAATTCCAGGAGGGGGCTCTCAGGTAGGTCATAGCCAGGGTTACAGTGTGCTATGCATTCCTGATCTGAAGAGAGAAAAATAATCAACATAGCTGTGAGGTTTGGGRCGTTTTTTGTTTGTTTGTTTTGTCTTTATCTACAGTGCCAGGCACTTCTCTCTGTGGGATCTCAAAGTGCTTAACTCTGTGTTTGAAACRCTGTGTGCCAAACAGATGTGAAACAACTAACACGCAGCGGCCCTGGTAAACCAAGGTTCTTGCAGTGTGCATTTCACGCGACAGCTTCTCCTTAGCAACACTTTGTGGCTCTCCTGCAGTGTGCCTGTGGAAGGAATTACTTAGCACAGGAAGGCCTAAGGACACCTCCAAGATCATCTTGAATTCAGAGTTGTGCTACACTGCACAGGAACGGAAGACTCTGAAGGAAGGTGAGGGAACTGATACGGACTCCCCAAAATGCACAGCTCAGAGGTGTACTTGTCTCTTTAATGTCAAAATGATTTGCAAATAAACCTTATTTTATATCAATTTCTGAGACACCTTGTTGGTATTAATCTTCTTTCCTCTTTGTCCTGTGCCACTGAATGGATTTCTGGATGTAAAATTAAATTTATAAATACTTATATTGAGCAGTTAATGCACATTGAAATATAGATACAACTTAGTGTGCAATGAAACATTATTAAAGTATCAGAATTACTTGAATCCATATTTACTGTTACTTCCTTGTGCAAATAAAGGTTATAGATAACTTACTTTCTGAAGACACTTCCTTTCTCATTAGAAATTAAAACAAGAAGTCTTCACTTTCTCCTTCCCCATGCGCACACACACACACACACACGTGCACACACACGGACGCACACATAGATATATGGCAAGAGAGAGCTTAGTATTTCAGAGTGAGAGATGAGTGTGTTCCCTCTTGCCTTTTTTAATTTAAAGGAACCTTATAAGACATGCCTGTAGTCTGGGGCAGAGGCAGGTCTGTATTTCATTAGTGGTGGGGGAAGTTCTTCCCTTTAATTCTTAATTTTCTTTTACCTCAGGGTGGTGTTTGAAGAGGAGGAGGGAGCTAGTGAGGTGCAGCAGCTGCTCCGAGCAAAGCAAACTTGCWCTGGACTTTGTGGCTTCAGTAACTGTAGAAGAATCCTTCATACCAACGATGAGCCCTTGTGGMTGTGACCTTGTTGCTCCATAAATTCCTGTGGCGTTGCCTGCCGCCGGCTGCACGTGTTAAGTACCTGGTGTAGCTGAGGTTGGTGAACACATGTGGGAGCCAGCTGCCTTGCAGTTTGAGGTTGCTCCATCCAGTCTTGGAGGTATCTGCCAGCTGGAGTTTGGTCTCTGCTCCGAAAAACTCCCTACCTCTAGCAAGTCCACTTCTTTTGAGTCCAGGGCTCCATAAAATGAAAGGCAAACTGAGTTTCRTACCCATCTTGGAGGCATTTCAATAGGAGGCACATCCAGAAAAACAAAAAAGATTGAGGGAAAGTGATAGTTCTTCCCCACTCGCTTATCCAGGCTGCTACATAGGGAAGTTCCTGTGACATCTGACTTTCTGCTTTGCCTTTAGAAAGGGCAATGTCATACATGAAAACACGGCAGACCAAAAAATTCAGATTCCTTGGTAGGAAGAGAGAAATAAATGTTTAAAGCGGTGCGGGGGAGAAGGAGGGAGACTTAAGCTGAATCACTAGTTATTTAATAGCAGAAAACCTGCAGAGGACCATTTGGAAGGCCGCAGCTGTAGCCGCTGACTCATAATAATTTCTCCTCAGATGATCTCAAAAGATAYAGGAGGGGCCTGGGGATTTCCTGCGTTCTGGGGAACCCTAGGAGAAGGCAGGTTTCCTCCGTGGGTGGCCTTGTGTATCCATCCGCTCCCRGCTGCAGCTTGCGATCCTGCCTGGCACAGGGCAACGCGCTGCCCAYGGGATCCCTCTTGCTCTGGGGCCCTTGGATAGGGGCTCTCTGTGTCCAACCACCTGTGATACCTCCTGGTACTTGGATGATCTCTGCTGTGCGCCAGAGCAGGAGGAGGGAGGATGAAGGGGCTTTTGAGCAGCCTTGGTGCTGCCACTGCCATGGTCATGTAGAACCATAGAATCCTTAAGGTTGGAAGGGACCTCTGGAGATCATCCAGTCCCACCCCCTGCTCCAGCAGGGACACCCAGAGYACRGGGCRCAGGGTGGCAGCCAGGCGGGTTTGGAAGATCTCCAGAGAAGGAGAGTCCACAGCCTCCCTGGGCAGCCTGTTCCAGTCACTCACTGTTAGGAAATTTTTCCTTAAGTTCCTGTGGCTTCCTGATGCTTCAGTTTGTGGCCATTTCCTCTAGTTCTCTCAGTGGCCACCACAGAAAAGAGGCCRCCCCCTCCTTCTCACTGCCTCCCTTGAGGTATTTATAGACCCTGATCAGATCCCCCCTCAGCCTTGCCTTCTCCAGGCTGAACAGGCCCAGCTCTCTCAGCTTAGGTACCTTTTGGATTCCYGCTCCTGGCTCTGTCGGAGCTCGTCTTTCCCGGGAGACAGGTGAGGACTGAGATGCGCTCAGCTGGTGCTGAGCCCCGCTGGCAAACCCTTTACAGCAGGCAAAAGAAAAGCAGATCACAGCAGTCCTTGGAGCGTGGAGCCTGGCCCGCGGGCACCCATGCTGGGGCAGAATCATAGAATGCYGAAGGTTGGAAGGGACCTCAGAGGTCATCGAGTCCAACCCCCCTGCTCACGCAGGGTCACCCAGAGCACGGGGCACAGGGCTGCATCCAAGCGGGTTTTAAAGACCTCAAAGAAGGAGACTCCACAACCTCCCTGGGCAGCCTGTTCCAGGGCTCTGTCACCCTCACCGTCAAAAAGTGTTTTCTTAAGTTCCTGTGGAACTTTTGGTGCCTCAGTTTGTGCCCATTTCCTCCAGTCCTGTCGCTGGCCACCACTGAAAAGAGGCCACCCCCTCCTCTTCACTGCCTCCCTTGAGGTATTTGTAGACACTGATCAGGTCCCYCCTCAGCCTTCTCTTCTTCAGGCTGAACAGGACCAGCTCCCTCAGCCTTGAAGCTGCTTTAGTTCCCATCAGAGAAGCCTGCGTGTATAGGAGCCAGGTCTCACAGCTGCAAATGAGCSGTTTTCTTATGTCCAGGAGCAAGTGGTTGGTTTGAGGAGGTCTGTCCCTTTAGTTTCCAACAGCCAGAGGCAATGCTGAAGGTGACATTTGTCCTGTGTTTGGTCAAAGGTGGCTGTCTTTAACCCCATTGTGCATCAAGCAAATACTTCAACAAGCTGGATGTTCTTATTTTACCCAAATACATCCGAGGAAATTTCTAGAGGAAATTCTAGCTGCTTATTCTCATGTTATCATCCTGTAGTAATTGCCTTACGTGACCTATAGGCCTTAGAGATCATTATCTTCTGATCTGTTACTGCTCACAGGCTCATGGCTTTGCTCCTGCCCTTCCCAGAAAATCCTGATTGTAGGGGGAGAAATGGTGAGAGAGCAAGCAAGCTGAAGCAAAAACACTCAAGGACACAGCTGGGGTGCCTAGGAGAGCTATACAAATGCACCTCCCAGGGAGTGAGCGGTAGATTTTGGCTGAGGATAAAGGTAGAAGGTCTCATCTCTGAGGAATGTTGAACAACAGATGAAAATGGCTGTAAAAGAAAACAAATGGTGTCATGGAGACAAGTCATATGGTGGCTACGAGTACCAGGGAAGGTTCGTTCAGGTTGCAGTTCACTTCCTAGGGAGTAATGATTGTCAGGAGAGCACAGCAGGGGAGAGCTGGAACGTGAGAACTTCTGCTAGAGATTTCAGCACTTTTTTTCTTTCAGGCTAATTGAGTTGTTATGATCATCACAGGCATTCGATTTTCATCAGAATATTAGGAATAGAAAAACATGTTCTGCTCAGATACAGAGGTGAAGAAACAGCTGGTTTCCCTTTCTCTGGAGCTTTTGGAGGGCTGTCATCACAGGAGCTACAAGGCAGAAGTCTGCAAAAAAAGGGAGCTTAATGAGAAYGAAGAGGAACTTTGGAGATTGGGATCTCCTTCAGTCAACTGCTAGTGCTGTATTTCCAATTCAAACAGCCCACACCGAGCATTGTATGAGAGTTTCCCATAAAAAAGTTTAACCAGAAAATACTTTTTTTTTTTCAAATCCTGATATTTTGTTGAATTGAAACACCGAAGGTTTGAGGAATTCTTGAGTTCAAAGAAAGATTCCTACAAGGATCTCAATCTTCCTGACCAGCCTAGTCAAGGATGCAGAGGTTTGGATGTTAT